GGGCACGTTTTCTTTAAAAAAAATTCTTCAAGATTTTTTCTTTAATTTTTTTTCAAGACTTTGACAAACAGTTCCTCTTTATCAGATAAGACTGAATAATCCAGGAGGACACACTGTGCAGCTGCTGCAGGACAGAGACAGAGACACAGACAGAGTCAGAGACACAGACACAGACACAGACAGAGTCAGAGTCAGAGACAGAGTCAGAGTCAGAGACACAGACAGAGTCAGAGTCAGAGACAGAGACAGAGTCAGAGTCAGAAACAGAGTCAGAGACAGAGACAGAGACAGAGTCAGAGACAGAGTCAGAGACAGAGACAGAGACAGAGTCAGAGACAGAGTCAGAGACAGAGACAGAGTCAGAGACAGAGACAGAGTCAGAGTCAGAGTCAGAGACAGAGTCAGAGACAGAGACACAGACAGAGTCAGAGTCAGAGACAGAGACAGAGACAGAGTCAGAGTCAGAAACAGAGTCAGAGACAGAGTCAGAGACAGAGACAGAGTCAGAGTCAGAAACAGAGTCAGAGACAGAGTCAGAGTCAGAGACAGAGTCAGAGACAGAGTCAGAGACAGAGACAGAGTCAGAGTCAGAAACAGAGTCAGAGACAGAGACAAAGTCAGAGACAGAGACAGAGTCAGGGTCAGAGTCAGAAACAGAGTCAGAGACAGAGTCAGAGACAGAGACAAAGTCAGAGACAGAGACAGAGTCAGAGACAGAGACAGAAACAGAGTCAGAGACAGAGTCAGAGACAGAGTCAGAGACAGAGACAGAGTCAGAGTCAGTGTGTGTGTCTTTGATGGGAAACAGAACTGATCCTCAGACACAGACGACACACTGAGTGATGGTGTTCAGTGATTCACCACTGAAGTCAGGGCAGAGGCTTACAGACAGGTCCTGGTCCAGGTCCAGGTCCTGGTCCAGGTCCAGGTCCAGGTCCAGGTCCAGAGGCTCCAGGGCCTCAGCCAGTACTGAATGGAGATGACTGAGTGAATCTCTGCAGGGCTGATGAGTTCAAGTGGAAACAGGTGAGCAGGTGGACGAGGCATCAGGTGAAAGTCTGAGAGCACCTGGTGGACAAACAGAGAATGACAGTGAGGTGATATACAAGTTATTAGAGGTAGAATAACTATTATTGTAATAACTTATTGTAATAACTTAATGTAATAACTTGATGTAATAACTTATTGTAATAACTTATTGTAATAACTTAATGTAATAACTTAATGTAATAACTTATTGTAATAACTTGATGTAATAACTTATTGTAATAACTTAATGTAATAACTTACTGTAATAACTTAATGTAATAACTTATTGTAATAACTTGATGTAATAACCTGATGTAATAACTTATTGTAATAACTTGATGTAATAACTTAATTTAATAACTTATTGTAATAACTTGATGTAATAACTTATTGTAATAACTTACTGTAATAACTTGATGTAATAACTTATTGTAATAACTTACTGTAATAACTTGATGTAATAACTTATTGTAATAACTTAATGTAATAACTTGATGTAATAACTTATTGTAATAACTTATTGTAATAACTTGATGTAATAACTTATTGTAATAACTTATTGTAATAACTAGTAGAGCAGAACGCCTTTGTTGTCACTGTACAAAGAGATTAGCAGTGCTCCATCTGATCAGGAGCGGACTCGTCATTAAAACAAGCAGGTAAAAGACCGACGACATAAATGTTCATAAAATCAGAAATAAATAGAATAAATAAATAACCTGTATGAAGCTGTTGTACATGTAACATAAACAGTGGACTGCACCTTTAGAGCAGGGTTATGGAATATGTCTTGTAACTGTTTGAGTCTGTTTCAGAGATCAGAGAGCCGCTGCCACTCTGGGCACCGCCGCCATCTTGTATGTGTAGCATGCTACGCTAGTGACATATGTCACATGACATTACATGATGTCAGTAACACGCCTCCTTATTTTCTGCCCAAACATGGCAGTACATGTAAAAAATCAAAGTGTTTTACTGACGTTGTAAGGAAGCCCTGCTGGGACAGTTACTTATGAAATGTGTCAGGTTACTAGTTACTGTTAATAAGTAACTGTTTCAATTACTTCATCAAAGTTGAGTAATGTATTACATTTGATGATTTTGAGTACTTTTCCAACAAGTGTTTTAAACTGAGCAATAAAGCTGAAACAGTCACTTTTATGTTTTATTATAAACGTTATACTGAAAAGATGTTCGATATAACTCCTCTGTAATCACCAACATTTAGTAACTGTAGTTTAATTACATAACTCAGTTACTCTTTGACAGTGGTTGCAAGTTTATTTTGAAAAAGACTGTATGCATGTAACAAGCAGAAACTGAACACTTCCTGTGAAGAGATGTTTATTTTGAAAAGACAGGAAACATCTAACGAGTGCAAACTGACAGTCTTTATGTTTAACATGGATCTTAAATGTCCAGTTTTAGTCAGACTGACTCAATAAATCCATTTCTCTGCTACATGGAGACAGACTGAGTGTCTCAGAGCGTTCACACGTGACGCAGGAGGAAAGGTAACGCATCATATTTTGATGTTTAGCAGTATTTGATGAGAACGTGTTGCGTATTCACACAGCAGGAAATTAGAAAAATAATCTGTAAAAAAAAGAAAAGAAAATCAGACTCCTGTTTCCTTACAGCCTTTCTAATGTCCCCACAACATGTGACCAAAACCAACCAATCAGAGGCAAGGAGTCTCTGACACAGCTGTCAATCATCCATATGACTGCTTGTGAATTTCAAACTGTCAAACACAGTGTTGATCAAATATGAATCCAGATTCTGTCACAGTGGCGCCTCTTTCTCTGCTCAGGTGTTATCAGACACATATTTCAGTGTTTAGCTGTAACATAAGGAAGTTTGAGAGCCAGCGGCCATGTTGGATCAGTTTAACAGAGCACCTGACCGACTTCCTCATTCAACATTTCACTGAGTCATCATCTGATAAACACCGTCAGTCTCACCTGAGGCTCAGTGAACATGCGTGTTAAACTTCATATCAGGCTCAGAACTGTAGCTCCATTTCATCTGACGAATGTTCATCATCTTTGTTTGTGCAGGCTGAGTATCATGAATATGTCACACTGTGATCTGTGATCAATAATCAATAATCTGTGTTCTGGCAAGATAAAAAAAAATAAAAAATCAGGAGCAGCAGAAGAAGAACTCCACCACTCAGACTCAGCTCTTCGTCTTCTTCTTCTTCTTCTATGGTTGTTTCCGTTTTTAAATCACATTCATCACCCCGTCCACTGCCAGCATGCAATGTTGCCGCGGCAACGGGGATGCAGCCCCACATCCCTGGTTGCCACGGAAACAAGCATTCCTACCCCCCATCCCCTCTGCTCGCCAGATATACCTCATAATTAACACACACACACACACACACACACACACACACAGAGGGTGATGTCACATCTGACGTGTGTTCCAACACATTCACACGCTGAGTTAAAACCTGACCAGGTGAATTTCCTTCAGGTTCCACTCAGAACAGATTGACAGATGAACTCAACAGATGTTTTTCACTCTGACGTGTCGTAAAGAACACATATGTTACATTAATGATGGCTGCATTCCATTTAGAGGAGGCCTTGGTATCGTACACGCTGGCTGACTTTGACACTTAATGGAACGGAGCCATAGTTAAAGTGACCAGTGTCACCTGAGCTTTGTCCTCTGACAGGTCAAAATGTCCGCTGTGAAAAAACATCCATCAGGTCCACTGAATAATCGTCCAATCAGAGAGCTTCAGGCTCTGTTGCCGTGCAGTTGATGTTGTTGGAAGAACTCAGAGATTTCAAACATGTTTGATTAAACATGTAACACTGATGTCATAGCACAGGACGGAGTCATCTCCATTGCAACAGCCTCTGAGGCTCATGGGTACTGTAGTCTTTAGAGATATTCCAAACTGAGGAGAAAAAGGTGAAACAGATTTACCTCCCGACCAGAGACCTGAATCTTCTAGTCTGATTTAGTTACACATGAGAGCCTGAGCTTCTGTCTGAGCTTAGCTTCTGTCTGTTAGAAGCCAACGGCCAAAAATCTGTCTGTTAAATTTAGTCTGTTAGCATCTGTCCGTTAGCTTCTGTCACGTGTTAAATTTTGACTTTTAGAAGGTAATGGACAAAAGCTAACAGACAAAAGCTAACGGCCAACATCTGTCTGCTAGTTTCTATCTGTTAGGGTCTGTTCGTTAGATTCTGTCTGTTAAGTGGGTCAAAGACGTGGCATGTCAATTCTGGTGTCCAAAGCATATTTATAATGTTAAAAATATATAAATATTTCAAAACACTACATTATGTTACTCAACTCTCCCCTCTTTATTTACTCATATGAGTATTCACTATAAGAAATGAAAATTTAAGGAGCTATTGAGCTCAAAAGTACCAAACTGTCCTTCGTGGGTAACGTCCCTGCTTAAATCTAAGTACAAAAATGTGCCAAAAATGTCAGAAATCTTAATAAAAGCATTAATTATCTACTGGGGCATAATTGTGTTAATGTTTGCAATGACATATGCAAATATAGTAACAATGCTAAGCTTATTTACATTTTAATGCAAGAAATACTTTTGTCTCCATATTTGTATTTCCATGATGTCCTTCCTGGGTAACAGACTATAGTGGCTATATATTACCATATTTGGATTTGGATAGTCATGTGACAGACTGTTGTATCAGCCAGAAGATTCT